TAAATTAACTTTCTAAATTTAATGTCAAAGCAACATAAGCTGCATTAATAGCAACATTAATGATGTCTCAGGGCATAATGTGAGTCATGCTGTTTGCTTTTTTTAATCAACAATCCTGTCTCATGGGACAGATGCTCAGAGATAAAAGGTTATTAACAATAATAGGCTAAAGTTTGCGGTATGAAATAAAGCTGTTGCTGTGCCAACCTGATGTTTCTTGAAAAACACCTTGTCTGATTCAGTTCAAACATTTCACAAAAACTTCACGCAAAACACCAACATATGACTTCATTTTTTTTAATGCTCCTTTTTTTTTTTCTCCTCTCTTCTGGTCAGAAGAACAAATTTTAATGTTGCACAAAAAACACAAATTTTATAACAAGGCCTGTAGATTTGAATTCAGTGACATTCAGTTCAACAGCAGAAACTAAATCATTTCTTGAAGGGTAGAAAACTTTTATAAACTTCTGTACAAATTATACAAATGACGACTCATTACGAGTTCAAATGACAGATGTGCTCCTTTCAGTGTAGACAGCATTGTTTGTCATAAGAATGATGATCCGGGTAATCATGAAGAACAAGAGATTGATTTTGAGGATGAGGTTACGGAGGTGATTTGTCTTAAGTCAGGAAAAGAAGTATGGTAGATCAGACAACGATTGTTTTGCAGCAAAGCATCTTGGAGACATGAAGGTGGTAAAGAAATGGCATGTATTACTGTACAAAGGGGTGAGCATTGTACAAAAAAAATAATTATTTTTCACAGCAAGCAATTTCTACTGAAATGGTAAAAGCAGATTCAGAGAACATTAGAATGAGCATTTGTAGTTGTCGCCTTTAGGAAAAAGGTTACACTGAATATTCAGGTTAATCTGTTTATGTTGGATCAACTTTCCCCCCTTGGAAAAGCTGCCTGTAATTGACATCATCCTGTACATGCTCAAGTTTGACATTTATTCAGTAATAATAAGGTTTTTGAAAATTGGCAAATTAAACCTACTGAGAAGAAAACAACAGGATTAAAGTTCTTTGAAAAAAAGTATTCATTCCCTTTAATGTTTTCCATGTTTTTTTCTTGTCACAACCACAAACCTCAGTGTATTTTATTGGAATTGTTTTGCTAGATTAACATAAACTAATGCATAATTGTGGATAATGGATAAAGGGAGCAAAGGTTTTCCACTTTTTTTTTCTAGTTGCCTTCAAATGTCGCCTAATTGGTAAAGTATCCCTTTGTGTGTAATGTAGTTATAAGTCCAGCTGTCCAGTGAATGCATTAGGTACTTTACAGACCACTGGTGAAAAAACATTCAAACAAATTTCAGCCTCTCGGTGTGCAAAACTAGTGGAGACATGCTGTAAAAGACTTTCAACTATAATTTCAGTGCCTGCAAATTGCAGCTCTGCAACTATGGTAACTTGAATTCATATTCACTCCACACTTTAGGGATGTTTTATTTGTAAAAATATATGTTTTCATATATTTCTCTTACGTCACAATTATGCATAACTTTATTTTGGTAAGTAACACAAAATTCCAGTAGAAAATACACTGAAGCTTGTGGTTTTAATGTGATAACATGTAAGAAAGGTCAAGGAGTATAAATAATTTAGCAAAACTCTATATGAAGGCCTTTTAGTGTGCTCCCTTGTACAACATAACAGTCACATAGAAATGATTTTACGAGTCCCTGTCTTCAAAATCCAATGCCAACGGCTCACTTTTCACTTCTTTCGGCCATTTGTAATACCAACAGTGTATTGAGAGCAATTAGTAGTGGAAAAAATGTGTCTTTGCATTTCACAAACTCATCTTATTTGTCATAGAAAGCTAGTTTTCCCCCAGATTACTTTTCATGTGTCACCAATAAATATTTTGTTTTGATACAGAAAATTAGGCAAGCAGGAGAGCCGACACCTCATTTTGCAGTCTTATGCTCTTCACTCTGAATAATTTTTTTTCCCATTTTAATTTTTGATGTTGTGTTTTTGCATTTGATCCCCACATGGTTCCATTAGCTAAGTTTGTGAAGGAAGGTTAAGAGGAGTTGGAGAAAAGTAGGTCTGTTGCTGGTTGCCGTCTGCCCACGCTGTGTACACTCACACACGATGCACTGATTGTAAAATAATAATAATAAAAAAATAAAACTGGCTCTCAAAGATTTTAACTTTTTGTTTGATTTCATTTTTCAGTTATATGTTAAGTTAAGCCAGTGTAAAACAGAATATGAGAATCTTGCACACATTGAAATGTGACAGGCAAAGTGTCCTTTGAGCTTCTAGTGACAAGATTTACTCAAAGCAAAGTTATGTGCTCTTTATGTTCTACTAGAATATAATCCAACACTTTACAAAATAAAGTAAATAAATAAAAAAAAACTACTGTGAAAATTGTGCTTATTTCCACCCATGTCAGTGTCTTTCATAGGCTCTTACTTCACTCATATAACAATTATGCAACATGCTGTCTAGTGCTTTGCTTTTTTTTTTTTTTGTTGTTGGTCTAAATTCCACGTTTGAATTTAGACCAACAAAAGGAGGCCCAAAATTGCAAAGTGGAAGGAAAATAAATGGTATTTATTTTCAAGAAACAGAAATGAAAAGTTTACTATAAGTTTTTCTTCTGCTCACCTTACGCTAATGCTTCTAAATAAAATCCAGTGCAACCAAATCCTTCAAAAGTCACTTTTTATAAAACAATGCAAAGAAAAGCCATGCTGGAGCAAGAAAGTTATCCTTCTGATTGTTTCCAGCTACGTTATACCACCAAAATTTAACATTTTAACTTTTAACTAAAATGCCATGTGTGAAAAAACAACAAAAAAACTATTTACATATTCCTTAACAGATCATCACTATGTTTACATCTACTTTATGAATCGATTGACAGTGATGATCTGTTAAAGAATATGTGAATGGGCCATTTTTTTCACTCATGGCATTTTTGCTAAAAGTCAAAATGTTAAATTTGGGTGGTATCATCACTTCAACAAAGCATGGCGGTGGCTGTGTCATAATGTGGGAAAGAGAAGTTAGCTTGATGCAGGACAACATTCTTAAACGTGATGCCAGTACTACATGGAATAATTAATGTGTGAGAATCGCCTGGTCAAAATTTGCAAGTGTTGAATTTAAATTTTGTGAAACTTAGTTGAGAATTTAAATTGTTGTTTACAAACACCATTCATCAAAGCTGACTGAGCTTGAGCTATTTTTTAAAGAAATTAGAAAAAATAATTCTATTGATATATAGAGGCATATCCCAAAGCACTTTAACTTATCAGTGCAGCAAAATAAATTCCAAAGTCTTCATATTTTTGTTTATTAAAAAAACATTAGATTTTTCTTTCTTCCACTTTATTACTATGCACTATTTTTGCATTAGTGTACGTCAAAAAATTCTTATGAAATGAACAGAAGCTGAAGTTGGAAATGTACTGGAAATGTATTCTCACTGTAGAATGCACAAGGAAGCCACTGAAAGATCCATCTTTATTGAAAACCATACTCACTATAAAGAAATTTGCTGAAAATTCAGTGTGAGAGTAGTTTTCAAAGCAAAAGAGAACCTGGACATCTAAAATAAATAAATAAGCACTTTAGTAAAATACTGAACTGGATGTTCTCTTTGTTGTTTATTGCATAGCCTTGAGGTTATTACACACCTACATGTGTGGGAGAAGAGTTTGAATATCCAGTTAGCTCACTGTTTTCAACAAACATAAATATCTATTTTCTAGTTGTATTTTTTTGTGGTTGTGCCTGTGCAAATGCTGTGCACGTTTATTAGAAAAAAAAAAAAGAAATCTCAAATCCCTTGGTGATTTAATATTTCAGAAGCAAATTCTTCACAGAAAGGACAACACATTCATTCTACCGGATGCAAAATATCAATAGAGGTATTTAACATTCTTGTGGTTGCTATTGGATTTTTTAAATTTATTCCATTCTTTCTTAGTCACTTGGAAGAGATTAATTTGCTTCTTCAGACAAACGCGTGTGCCGATTTCTAAGTTAGCAGACCATGTAATAGAATCAGTTAAACTCAGATAGCATATAAATATCCTCCTTTGGCTCTCAGTATCTTTCAAATATTTTCAGGAGAATATAACTCCTGAGCTTGACTTGTAATCAAAGTTTCGAACAAATATATTTTCTTTCAGTTTAGAATTTCTTTATAATATTCATATGGTTGACAAATGCTCTGGCAAAATTACAATCTATCTCACATTCTAAATTACAGCATTAATATTTTCGGTTAGCATTATTTGGCTAACATCTAGTGCTTATTTCCTTTTGCAAATAGGTTTCACTGTCAAGAAAATATTTTTTTTTAATGTTGATTTATTCTGTTTCTCCAATTGATGCATTATTTTATTCTCTACCAGCTGGCAGAATTACTATGCGGCTGTTTCAAAAACATTTGTTGTTATTTTTTTTAGGGATTAATCATAAGAGGTTTTGAAACCCATTTTCTTTGTGAAAACCACAATCTTTTCCTGACACCAGAATTGGAACCATAAGGTAATTAATTTAGTTGCATCTTCAGCAAAAGCAAACAAAGTGTAATATCTGAGGTAGTAAAGACTCCATTTCTAATGCTCAACTAATTTAAACACTGGAAATAATTAGGAATAGTTTGACATTGGCAAACTAGCTGAGTTGAGCACTTTAACTGAATCCCTCAGTGAATGCGTATAATCCAGATGTTATTGCAGAACAATTGAAATATGCAGTGATTTTTACAGGTGATTATTGTTGTGTTGATTTTTGCTCAATGAAAGCTTTTAATTGTTTTGAATCTGTGTCTCCCTGTACTTTAGTTATGGGTAACTGATTGGGGTCATAATGTTAGCTGAAAAACACCACTATTGGTACACCAAGCTGTTCATACTGTAGATGTATTCTACACATACAGTATTTAACTTAACTTAGCACACCTTGTTAAAGGTCTTCTCCCAGCAATTTTTTCCACATTTTTTTATTTTTTTAATTTATTTTTTATTAAGGAACAAATTAAATGAACATGCATTAACATCTTTGTTAAGTTTGGACAAAGATGAGAATGTTAAAAACTGATTTGTCATTGGCAACAACAAAACCAGGAACAAGTCTCCCTGCAGGCATTTTGAGTTAATTGCAGATTTTGACATCATTAGCTTTCTAATGATGTCAGACACATAGAAATAATAAAGACGCTGCCATTTCAATGTTAGCACTCTTCAAACAATAATGGGGAGATAACAGGCCTCATTGTGTCAGAAATATCATCCTCAAACCTGATCTGGTACCTGGGGCTGTCAACAAAGGCTGCTTATTTAGATTAAGGAACTTGTGCAGACAAGGGTGAGCACTTATCTGGCTTATCTAGTTAGAAATCTATATTTTTATAGGTTGTTTCCATTTTCCAAAAATGCTATGAGCTTTGTCTTGGAGTCGTCTGTGAATCCTGAACTTTAGTGAAATGAAATCATGCCTAAAACACACAGGAGGAACTATGTTTTTCGTTTCTCAGCTGAAACACCCTGGGATTCTTCAGGAGGATCTGGTCCAAGTGGCCGGTGAGAAGGACGTCTGGACCTCCCTGCTTAGGCTGCTGCCTCCATAATCAGGACCCAAGATAAGACGAATATAATAATAATAAATAAAACATGTAAGATGATGTTTCCTTTCATCCTGTAGAAAACCTGACATGAATAATTATTTTACTTAAGGAGGTACATCTACTAGATGCAGTTAGAGCAGCACGCTCCTCTATTCACCTGCCTGGTCAACATTATGTCTCACTCATTATATCCACAGCAATGCAGCTCCGGCCCAGGAAGGCTAAGATCTGCATACTGATCTCATGCTATGTTTCATAATAGTATTTTAAAAACAATAACATTTCTGATACTCACCTTATTAGAAACCAAAAAGTATACCTGCAGACATAAATGCCTCTCCTCATATAAGTAGACATAGTGTCTACTTTTTTTTAATTTTTTTTTATTTTCTTTTTCTGACTTTATAATGTTTATAATCACTGTTTTCCTAACTTTATAATGTTAAGGAAAAGATTGCGGTTTTGTTCAAATGTGAGTACTTTTAATAAATATTCTTGCTTGTCAAAAATGTTTTAAAGTCTTTAAAAAGACTTTAAATGACTCCTTCATAAACCGGAAGGAGTCATAAACTCCTTCCGGTTTATGAGTACCGGAAGGAGCAAGTATGCCTTGTATGTGACCAGCATTTTTAAAAACCAGAAAAAGAAAAAATTTAAAGGTTTGAAAAATTCATTTTTGTGGAGACTTTATAGGCTGCGAGGTGAAATTAGAATAAAACTATCTATGCCTCAGAATCAAAACCATGAATTTCTAAATTTGTTAATTCATAGGTACCAAAAAAGATGGAAGAGTTCTTTCAGAGCCGAGAAAGACTGAAAACTATGTTCATTATTTTGTCATCACTGTATGATGTGTTAGAAATGATAATAAACCACAGGAGTTATTACCATAGGTGTTGTGATAATATTCAAACAACATAAAATACATTACTTGCTAAATTAGATCTTATCAATAACAGTTTAGCGGGTGAGCTGCTGAGAGTGTGTCTCTTGGGATCTAAGCTTCACAATCATCATCACAATCATCTTCAGGCATAGAGTGGAGAAAGGCCTCTCTGTTTGAAAGTCTGCAGTTTTGTTTTATGACCCACCCCAGCAAAGTGGGCCAGTTCTGATCGCTAAAGGGTCCATTCAGGCATGAGGGCACATGTACAGTTGTATGTAGGTGTCTGGGCTGTGGCAGGAAGAACAGGCAGGAATAGATGGGGCAGAGGAAGCAAGGTGGAGCAAAGAGAGCACAGGTGGCAGGGCAGGCAGGTGGGCGGTGAAACAGATGTGAGCAGAGCAGAAGACGAACATAGTCCCTTCGATGTCTCCGTTACAGCCTAGAGCAGGAAGGGGAAGGGAAGGAAACAAAAAGAGCATTACATTGGAAGGCGTCTCGACACACAGCCTTGCAGGACTCCACACTGTAGGCACTTCATGTTCAGACAGACAAGTTATGACGGCATGCACACAAATCCAGAGGGCTTCTTTTTTCTCAAAAGGATTTAGCCTACTATGGGATACTATTCATTGTCATTTTAGCTAACAACTTTTATACCAATGTAGTCACTGCAAAATCTGCATAGAACTCAGAAACCAGTAACATTTGGGGACAATTTTTTGCATCTCATAGACAGCTAACTAACCATATTAAAACAATGAAATATGTTCAAATTTAAAACAAGTCAGACACAAACTTATCAAATTTCTTTGTACATTAAGCTATAGTTAAATTTTAACAATTACCATTGTTATTATTTTTATTTTGTTTGTGATTAATCAAAAATGTGAGTTCAGGCTTTTTTGTAACTAACTTTTTATGCCCAGGATTAATAAATTAATCTGAGACCTGAACACCTGGTGTGTGTTTTTGTAAGTATATATTTAAACTCAATGCAATGTATGAAATCAGATACATAAAGTGTTTGGTGCTGTAGCAATACAACTCAATACAACTGAATATTGTCAGTTGACCTCACTTGGTTATTGAGTATACTGGAAAGAGAACATTTAAAGTATTACCTCATCAAACGTTTTCATACATCATTATCAACATTTAAACTGGCAGCATTTAGATTTTTTCCTTGCATTTTCATAATTGTTTTCTTAACTGTATAAAATCACATACAAAGACTCAAATCTCAGGGTAATCTTTAGGCGTTTGCCGTGACAGAGAAGAAATAATATTATTTCACAGTTAATCCCCAAAAACCTTGGAAAGTTGTGCTCTATATTACCATAAAACCTAAACTATTTTTATCTCTTCCTGCTGTTCAGAACCTCAATTCAAATTTTCCATTAATGAAAATCACTATGAATCTTGGCGGGTCCATGCGGCGCTGTTATTGTGCATTGTCCGACAGATGGACAAGCACAGGCCTTGCTGGAGGGAAAGACTGGGTCACATCCTCCATCCTCTTGGGTTATGTAAGATTTATTTTTGGGATGTACAGTTCAAACCAGTGTGGTTTGCCAAGTAGTTGTCAGATCACTCTCAGTCTCTAAATCATGTGAAATCACCACAAGTTTGACCGCCAGAGCTTTCTACCCCAAACCTGTTAGGCGTGCAGCCTCTGGTTATATTCAGACAGTAAGGCATTTTCCATTTGATTTGACATGACGAATATTTATGGCATTGGCGTTAAAATTATTCCCCCACCAAATGAGGCCAACAGCTGCGGGGGACTTATTGTGACGAACATGCAGGTGCTGTCTGTATTTCCTGGCTCTTGGGCTTAACAAGCATCTCCTAACTGGCAAGACTTTGGGCACAGTAATGCTGAACCTTTCCTAATTTCCTTTAATGGCTCACTTGGTAACGCTCCCTCTTTCTGTCTGTTTGCTTGCCAAACCTCTGGTCAAATGAAACAGCATATTTAACCCACATGAATGTCTTTAAATAAACCAAGAAAATGCCACATTCCTTGGATGCTATGATGTTAGAGTTAATCTGTTTCTCTAAATTTGCTGATTTAAAAAAAATGTATACCGGGTTGTTTTTTTAAGTTATTTGTACGTCTCAGTCATGTCTGTGAAGACAAACAAAAGCTGTCATAATTAGTGTCTTTATTTTAAGGATGAGTCAACAAGTGGAAAGCACTGTTTAATGTCTTATTTTTCCTTAAAAAGTCTGAATCGGATGAGAGCGTAGCATCTCATAAACTTAGTAAATTTACATAAATTTGAAGAAACAGTCACAATCATATTCTCTGTTTGTATATTAAAATTCTGTGAAGCTGAATTCTTTCTTTCATTCCCACAGATTACCTCATATATATATATATATATATATATATATATATATATATATATATATATATATATATATATATATATATTAGGATAAGGATACAAACAAAAAAATA